GACCAAAGCGGTTTCTGTGCTGTAGCCAGGTCTGAAGCCGGACTGGAATGGATCGAGATAACTGTCTAATAACTGACCTGTAAGATAGAATCAAATAATGCAAAAAAAGGCAAACCAGTGCTTACTGTATTGCATTTCTCAATCAGCAGCCGAATCTCTGGTTTTACTTTCTCAATGATGTTCACCAGCTGCTGGTTGCTCTTCATCATCCCATTAGGCATGACAAAGACTTTGGTACCTGGTACAATAGAAATAGACTAGTTACTTATTCCATGACAGAACGAAGCAGACTACCCCAAATTCTGCATAGAAATTCAAGTCTCCGCCCCCCCGCCATTCTACTTTTAATCAATTTTTTAAACCCCATAGCGCTGGGGTCTGCAACCTTAAACACTCAAAGAGTCATTCGGTTGTGCTTCCCAAACAAAAGAAAACACCGGGAGGCACAAAACCTGGATGGGCGTGGCCAACTCAATGTCACTCCCACTCAGTCACAAAATCAGCCCCCCGCCACGCCTACCCAGGTTTTGTGCCTCCCGATGTTTTCTGTGGGAAATGGTTCTGGGTTTCTCTCTCTCTCTCTCTCCCATTTGTTTTTTTTTCCCTTCGCCCTCTCGCTCTTTTCTTTCTTTCTCTCCCCCTTCTCTTTTGTTTCTTTTTCCTCTCATTCTATCCCTCCATCATTTTCTCATTTCTCTTTCTCTCCCCTTTTTGCTCTCATTTCTCTCTCTCTCCCTCATTTGTTTTTCTCTTTTTTCCCTCCCCCACTCTCTCTCTTTCTTTCTCTCCCCTTCTCTCATTTATTTCTCTCTCTTTTTCCTCTCTCTCATTCACTCCTGCCATCATTTTCTCATTTCTCTCTCTCTCTCTCCCTCCCTCTCTCTCTCTCGGAAAGCTGGGGCTGGGCCGACCCGGCAAGCTCTCCTTGGGGCTCTTTGCTACTCCTTTTCTTTCTTCTTGACAACTTTTCAGAAATCCGGGCTGGCTGAGGAGCGAGCAAGAGCCGCCGCAGAGGTGGCTTCCCTGAAGACGACCCTCCTCCTCCTTAAACAACCCCCTGGCTGGTTATTGCGGGGCCAGGAGGACGTGCACAAGTGGAGATAATCTCAAGTGAGCAGAGTGGTGCCTCTGGCAGCATTGACTGAAAAGTATCATCCGGGCGGCTTTAAAGCTTGCACAGGGGACTTTCGCCACCCGGAGGACGCTTTTCAATCAACGCCGCCAGCATTACCACTCAGCTGGTGTTGTGGCCCAACAGCGGCCGGCTGAGCTGTTGGTGGAATCTGACAGCGATGAACACTATGGGACTGCCCTGGAGGCTGAGGAAGACTCTGAGGGGTGTTCGGAGTCAGAGCAAGGACTAGAGAGGCGTGTTGGCCACCAGGTGGCATTTGAGTCAGGATGAAGTGAGGAGGAACAGAAGGTATATGCCTAGAGCTGAGAGGAGGAGGGAGCAGCTTTGGAAAATGACTCACAGAAGGAAATAGGAACAGGTGGCTACTTATTGGCCCTTCCCGTAGAGCTTATAGGTGGGGCGATGGGAGGGGAATTTTGCAGGAAACAACAGTTTACTAATCCAGGTGTAGAGAAAGTTTGGAGA